CATGAATATAACCAATAAAATATCACAGTACTAGAGAAGCAGTTTGTATGAGGAAGTAACATGAAAGCTTAACAACTAACTCCAGGGTGGGCCTCACTTTGAGCCAGGACCCCCAAAGCGGCTTGCTGTTGATAACGTTTTGTTGGCTTAGATGCGACGGAGCGAAGCGACCGGATCGTCTAAGGCTGGTTCTGTGGTGCTGTCGTACAACTGGGTCGCAGTGGCGACTTCATTCTTGCTGCTCTCCTGGTGAAGTCATTATGCCTTCACGCAGAAGAGCATACAGCCTTGTCCAACTAGTCAGCGTGACAGGCTGTACTTGGACCCCCAAACCGGCTTGCTGTTGATAACGTCTTGCATGTTGATACGCCTCCTGCGGACTTGTCCCCCAGTAGGGTCTGCAGATTGCATACAGATTACGTTCGGGTCTTATTCAAAGTGTCCCAAACTTCGTCTTGGAAGACGCCCACCTTCTTAAGCGCAAGCTATTAACAGCCCGACGACCGTTTGTTATCTCTTCCAGAATGGCATCCGATGGTGCCCTGGGTGTGGATGTGCATGGCCGGACAAGGTAAGAACGGGGTTGGACTGCGTCTGACTGAAGAACTGGCACCAATGGTGCACGTTTCTCACATTTACACCAAGTCGCGTTCCATGCCTGTTCTCTTCCCAATTGTGTTAACCTTCTGCAGAATCGTCAAAAGCTGGCAAAATTGACGGGGTTGGGCTTCGCCAGGGACATGGCCGAAGTCATCATGGAAACGCTTGGGATTGACCCCATCGGGCAGTCGGCCGATGCCGGAGCAGGACTTCCTTGTGTTTGAGTTTGGTTAGCTATGGGACGCGACTTATAAGCAGAACTTCCTTGTGTTTGAGTTTGGTTTGCTATGGGACGCGACTTGCAAGCAGGACTTCCTTGTGTTTGAGTTTGGTTAGCTATGGGACGCGACTTAGCAGAACTTCCTTGTGTTTGAGTTTGGTTAGCTATGGGAAGCGACTTGCAAGCAGGACTTCGTTGTGTTTGAGTTTGGTTAGCTATGGGACGCGACTTGCAAGCAGAACTTCCTTGTGTTTGAGTTTGTTTTGCTATGGGACGCGCCTTGTATGCAGGACTTCCTTGTGTTTGAGTTTGGTTTGCTATGGGACGCGACTTGCAAGCAGAACTTCCTTGTGTTTGAGTTTGTTTTGCTATGGGACGCGCCTTATATGCAGAACTTCCTTGTGTTTGAGTTTGTTTTGCTATGGGACGCGCCTTGCAAGCAGGACTTCCTTGTGTTTGAGTTTGGTTTGCTATGGGACGCGACTTGCAAGCAGAACTTCCTTGTGTTTGAGTTTGTTTTGCTATGGGACGCGCCTTGCAAGCAGAACTTCCTTGTGTTTGAGTTTGGTTTGCTATGGGACGCGACTTGCAAGCAGAACCTCCTTGTGTTTGTTTGAGTTTCCATGTAAGCAACTATGGACAACTAAACCATCCATCCTTGGCCTGTTTTGCAGTCCTGTCAGTTTCCAAGTTCTGCACCTGCAGCCTCATTTTACAGCAGAACACCCAATTCTAATCCTCCAACTGTGTTCCCAATCCTATGGCAGCGACCTCATCCTAAACTTGCGAAAGCCTGCAATCCCCGTCCTGTCGACCAGGGTCCCATCCCCATCCCTGGCCAGGGCTCCCAATCCCCTCCTTGGTCAAGGTTGCAATCCCCATCCCTCAGACAGGGATCCCATCCCCATCCTCACCCCCGACAGCAATCCCCATCCCAAAAGTAGTGTAGCACGCCTAATCCCTAATCCTCGCCCTGGGCCCCACATCCCATCCTGACGTCGTCAACCCTATTCCCCATCCCGCCTGACCAGTACCTGCCCCCAATCCCCCATCTCTGCAACCCTCTGGGTGAGGATTATGAAAGATAGTTATATGCACCGTTTGTGCGAGATTCGCCATGACAATGAATGGGTCCTAGGTAATAAGGATGGAGTCCCTACTCGTAAAACAGTCCCGGTTGCTAAAAAAGACCTGGTGGTGTTGGCGGTGACCCAGAGCGATTGATCACTATGTACCGACAAGATACACTACTCGTATGCTTACCATGAGGTCCAAAGCCGCACCAGTCTGCATCATGATGGCGAGTGAAGACCTTGTTGTGCATGCTGGCGTGCAGCAGCTCCCACCTTGTCAAAAAAAGACCAGCATCTCGAGAGGCCTTTTCAGCGACTAGTGGCTTTTGCAAAATGGACTTCGTCTGTTGAAGGCAGCTGGCAGCAATATACTTCGGAGGGCAGGGCATCCCATTGCGGTGGGAAGTTGTGGAGGTACCACACCCAGTGCTGCTGTGTTACAGTTACAAGTTGCATGTTACAAGTTCCGCGTAAGGGTTGTCTGTAAAAGCCGGTGGGGCCCCATAGACATTATATTGGTATTGATGCGGGTACGCGTGCCTGGCCTCCCAGATTTGGGGGATGGCGCCTCAGTCATACTGGTGCGCATGCTGCGTCCCTTAAAGACGAGGTCACAGTCGTATTTAGCCCATATGCTCGCGTAAGTGGAGCATTCAGCAAAAAAATGCAATGCGTCTTCAACCGCGCCACAGTGACAAAGCCTGCAGGTACGGGCGGTGCACTCACGGCCGTTAGGCCGATTAACCTCTAACTCCCAACAGCATAACCGGAAACGCATGAGCACTTGATGCAGTCGCTGGGGCATAGCATCTTCAGTGTGCGCCAGCCAATCGAGCCGCGTACCTCTAGGCGGGGCCGCTCCCAACCAGTTCCTACGCACTATTGCCCCCGGGATTGAGACCCGTCAAGGTCGAAAATCCTTCCGGTGGAAGGAAGGTGTAGTGCCCCTAGTCGATGGACGGTGGTGACCTGGGATATAGTTAACTTGCGAGCTGACCAGAAATGGAGTTGGGCCGCCGTCGATCCGGCAGATTCCGTTGGATGCCAGTGGTGGGTGCGGAACCTGAGCGGTCCACTGAGAAGTTGACTAGGGTGACTGGATGAGGGTGCCCTGAAATACCGGGGAAGGCAGGGTTTCGCCGGGTAGCGGCCACGGGTTAAGATAAGGCCCCCTGTCCCACACCTTTAGAGTTCATACAGCGACACGCCTTGACACCGGTACTTCCGATGGGGACAACGGGGGTTTCACCTAGGGTATCCGGGCACTCCCACCGTGCATCAAGCCGCGGCCACTTAAGGGTGGCGTAATGCGCTTTGAGATCGTCACCGTGCATGCTAGTGGGGGCTTCCGCTCCAAGCTAGTAAGAAAAGCTAGTATCTTGCATGTCCAGCACTCAGTAACACCCCCCGAAACTAGCCCTGTGTGGTGTGCTGTGGGATGTACAGTCACATGGCATATGTGGAAGAAGCATAAGTTTATCGAGGGCACGGACTTACGATGCAGTAAGGGTTATGGTCTAAATTGTGGTGCACAGGCATTTTCCTTGACATTGGTTTTGCCAGTATTTCGTCTACAGGTCCAATTTGATACAGTCTGATAATTTAAATGTATTGGGGAATTGGATGATTGGACCGCAAATCGGTTCACAGCGTTATGATGACAGGTGCTTACATGCGTACTGCTGCAGCATTAGTCCACATTACCCAGCACATGAAAAGCTAGTTTTTCGATCTCATACCAGTGAGGTGTCGACGCCTGGAATGTTCTCGAGCGCGTCCACCAGCGGAATAGCACCACATGGAAACTCGTTGACAGGTTGTAAAAATCAAGGCTCCATTCTGTAGTAGCTGGTACACAGTACGGCACGCATAACAACTACAGATAATTGCGCGAAGCGCTCGACCAGCATCTAGAGGAGCCTTTTCAGAGGCCAGCTACTACACCACCTTGTATGTCGCCTGCAAGTTGCGGGTGTGGTTCAACCAAGCTGAGCCTTGCGTAAGGTGAGCTGTGCGTGCTGTTGCACGATCAACCCGGAGTGGCGACAGTAGCGTGCGTTGCACTGCTTGCTTACCGTCATGTCATGTCCTAACGGGGATTGACGGGTGGTGGGGAAAATCGGCACAACATGCGGCGGCATATTTAACTTGCGTATTAGAGAAGCGTATTTTGTGCAGGCGTTACACCTCACTGTGTGCTGGAGGAATTTTCGATTAGAGGTGGGAACATGGAGCTGTAACACGTTAGGTGGTGTGTGCAGCTGATGTGCCTCAGGTTAACGGCCCATCAGCACAACCGTCTTCAACCAACAAAGATAGATCGTACACCTACACAACATTTGCAATGTCCGAGTTGTCCATCACATACGGTTCGACGACAACAAAGTCAAGCAGCACAAGACAGAAGTATTGACGATGGCCATTTTAGAGATCTGTAAGGGCGAGTTGCTCTACAGGCAGGAGCCTGTCGCGCTGCAGCCACCGTCACTACCTCTAATCATGGGTTAAACCCTTGAAAGGTAGAAACGTACCTCAAGTATCACATCAATCATACATTTGGTCTGAGGCAGTATTTTTTGCCCTCACACGGAGGTAGGTGGCCAGGCAGGAAGGCAGGAAGGCAAGCACCAACCCCATTCGTGGGGGGAGCTGGACCCCAAGAACAACGCGATTACAGTGAGGCCCAGGACGCGTGCGTACGCATCGCCGTCCGAGAGTTGGAGCGTTCTGGCGAGGTGAACGGCAATGTCTGATCGCGGAAGAACGCCGGGGCCCAAAGGCGGCGTGTATGTGTGGGATCGCTTAATGGATATCTTGTGTGGATGAACGGCAGCAAAACCGAATCCCCCCTCCCCGAATGCTACATGGATGAATGACAGCTGATTCTGAAGGTTTTTGCTATAACCCCAGCAACGCTTAGCCCTTTATGCGGGCAAGTCATAACTTGGAAAGCACTTGCCATTGGACGAGCGAGAAACGCAACAGGCCATGCACTGCTTCAAGAACTCCAGATGGCATAAATTGAGCGTATGGAGTTGCAGTCAAATTACATAGACGCTAACAAATAAACATAAATATGGAAGAAGTCTTATTGCGTATAACGATTCGTAATGTGCTACGGCAGGATGACAAATCAAGGGAGATGCAAAGCTAGGTTTTCAGCTTTAGCATTCGCCAGAATACTATAAAGTGACTACCCTTATAGAGGAAAATTATTAGCGATGAGCGCAGCTGCCCTTTTGAAATTCCATCCAACGTCAAGTAAAAGTCTTCTTCAGACTGTGTGTGCAAGCCATATGCAAAAGAACGTAATGAAGAGCTTGATTTAACACTTGCAATAAGGATTAAATACAATTTCTAACAAGCGACGATGGCTGACTCAGAGGCCTATCGCGCAACTTCGGGGTCACCAGGAAAAGAGCTGAACTGGTGGGAAAAGACGTTGAATAATGTTCAGGCAAGTTAATATCAATATACTGGCATGGCTTGATGCGCCGCGACCGGTTTTTGCCCATCGTTGACAGGGCCTTCGCACAATAGTGCGCGCATCACCCTCCACGCTGATATGGCCACTTATAATTGCCTCTATCTTATGTGGTACTGGTTCGTGGGCTGTAACGAGAGTAGCACAAGCTGGAGCAGAACATACGAAGGTCGGCCGCGCATATCTGAGTTTAAGCATCATTTCAACTGCTTTCCTCTCGCTCGACCCGACAATATACAATCAATCGCTGCATTTCAGCATTTCAGTCCTAGAACCTATGCATTAGTGTGGAAGGAGTTGTTGGGGGGGAGATGCGGCCTAGTTTTGCATTCCGCCGGCATCGGCGACCGAGTTGCACCTAGAGGGTAGGACACACTGTCGGGCAGAGCAATTCTTTTGGCTGCCCCGGTCGCACAATTCCCGTGCTTCCCTAATTCGACACCCTGAACACGCTAATTCTGACTGTCCGAATGTCCCTGCCAGGCCAATTCGACACCTTGTCAGCCTAATTCTGACTGTCGGAATGTACCGCCAGGCTAATTCGTATCCCTGTCAGGCTAATTCGTATCCCTGTCAGGCTAATTCTGACTGTCGGCACCCGGACAGGCCAATTCGACACCCGGACAAGCCAATCCAGGCCCAGCACAGCCAAATTCCGAGGCTCCACAGCGCAATTCGAATACCTCCGGCGGGTCCGCCAGAACAATTCCAGACCTCGGCAGACCAATTCTTTTGTCAGGAATAAAATCCAGGCTAATTCTGCGACAGAGCTCTTCCCTAATTCCAGCCCGAATCCTACCCTCCTTTGCACCATAACCAAGAATCCGCGTATTGCGCAGTATGCTGTAATGTCACAAGTATGGTTGGGCCTGGGCGCGAAACCGTCTTTCTCCTCTCCCCTTTCCCTATCGCGACCTGCTCCCCAGGCTCGTGCCCAGTCCCTGGCCCATGAGGCAGTGGCGGAATGCAAGCAGCACCTGGATTTAGCTGTTTCACTGGCGCAGGTATTGGCATCACTTGTTGAGCACGGCCCACAGTATAACGAGGCTAGCAGCCTATTCAACATCACGGCGCCGGCGCTGGCTAACATGGTGCGTGAGCAGGCGGCGAGCCGAAGGCAGCTAGGGTTAGCTGATGTCACGATACAGTCTCGCTTCCCGTTATGCCGTGACTTCCCGGTTTCATATTTGCATAATTGCTTTGCACGCGCCCTTCCTCTTGCATGCACACACCCACACATTGACTGTGACTGACCCTCGGTACTGTCCCTCAGGCGCCGCCGGCGTTTGTCGTAGCTCTGGACCTCGCGCCGTCGGCTGTCATCCGGCAGGTTTATCAGCCAGCAGTGGGCATGGGGGAACCCTCTTTCCTGGGACACGATTTGCTCGGGGGTAAGTGCTGGCAGCAGTGGCAGGGTCTACGTCCTGTGTGTGCCTCAAATCCAGCCAGGTCACAGTCGCCATCTTCCCTTACATGCATGACGGTACTGCTTTTCTCTCGTACGGCATGACTTCCAGTAATGATGGCCTCCAAGGAGCCATTGAAGCGCTAAATCTTCATCATTTCCGTACATGGTACGCTGATTGCTTGTGGACCGTCAAGCCCGCCAGCAGTCTGCCGAAAATGAGGCGTATCCTAATCTCTCCATTTTCGGTCGCCGGCTTTTCTAGGGCCATGTAGACAGGTGTGGGGCACACCTGCTCGTCGTGCACGACCCAGCCTCTGATTTGAACCGTGTTCTGTAAAAAGTTTCTGTTAAACTATGTTGTAGCACATGTTGTAGCACACGACCTGATGATGCACGCCCACTGTATTTCACGCCAGCTTGTGCGACACAACACCACCATCATTACGCAACCAACACGCTGATGGTGTGTCACCTACCGCGCTGTGTGCAACTGCAACCTGCTGCACTGCCAAACCACATAGGCGCACCTCCACTTCTGCCTCCACTTCCGCCTCCCTGCCCACTCCCGGACAAGAATGCAACCCACCAGAATGCGTCCACCCCCAATAGCCCACCTGGCACGTGTCCACACACACACAATGCCCTACCCGCGCTGCCCCCTGCGTCCTGTGTTTGGCAGTGGACCCTGGTTGTGAGCCCCGGGGGTGAGCACGGCTGGATGCCATCGTGGTACGGCGGAGTGGTGACAGCGGTTGTCGTACTATCCGTGGCAGCTTCCATCCTACTTTTCCATTTGCTGGTATCCAGGTGGGTCAGGGCGGTGGAGGGCGCGGGTGTGTATCGGATTTCGGGAGACCGGTCACCATCAACGTATTGGTACGCTGCCCAAGACGCAGCGAGACGGGACGGGCACATCACGCTTTACTTTGGTGTACGGATTGCCGCACGTAATACGCGCACATCATGTACACGGTCCGAAACACCCAGCAGCTGCAGGCGAGTCATCACGCTCCTTCGCGTTCAGGCCGATCATCTCATGCGTCCGTCTTCCACGGGCCGGCTTTGAGGCCCTCGCTGTGCTACCCCATATTGCGTATGTACGTATGTATGTTGTTACAGGGTGGTATAGCTTCACCAGTGGCCCCCTTTCCCTTGGAGGCAGTTCCCTGCTCTCCCCTGCGAGAGGGGCACCCTAATCCATTCACCCCATCCGACTTCAGGGTGTTTTCGTTGGGTTCAGCAACTCACAATGTATGTATGTATATATGTATATATACATGCCCCTGACACCCGACCCTCTCTCATGCAGGCGCCGACAACACATGTTGCTGCACTCCCTGTTGCCTGAGGATCTCATTTGAGATCTACATGCCGAGAACCACCAGCTCGCGTTGGAACCTAGACGCACGGTAGACGCGGGTGAGTGAGTACCTCTGTATGTACGTACATGCGAGTGTGGGAAAAGGGGGAGGAAAGTTTACCCCGGGACCGTAAACCCCGGGTGTGTGTGTGTGTGTGTGTAATTACGGAGCCCCATCTATGTACGGGTTGGGTATTGCTGCTAGCCGTCAGTACTCTATTTTGTTCTCTTCTTCATCTCCTGGAGCAGTCATTGGAGCGTCCCTTGATCCCTATCTATGTTAGCTGCCAGTTGGCTCGGAAGCGTCCCTTGGCAAGTTAATGTAACCTAAAGCTCTAATCTAAACCAAAGTCAATCCAACTCGCCTCCTAGCGCTTACTTAGTTGACATTAACCATAGCGGTCGTGCACACTACAGATTTCGGGAACGTTCTAGATGTGTTATCCTTTGGCCTGGCCAACACTTAATACTCGGCATCCCTAAGGAGTAGCCTTTACGGCCATTTCGGAGTTTTCTTTTGAGAGAATACTACTGCCGTGTTTTGTTACTGGTACTTTGGCCCGCTAAGTTTCCCCGTTTTCCCCCTTCCTTCGTTTTTCTTCTGCCCGCTACGCTCACCCTCGTGCTTACTACCCATCCACCTATCGTTGCCTCCGGTGGCGGGCCTGCTGGTCCCTGGCCTGCTCCACCGCCTCGTTCGTGTGACTTCACCGCCCGCTCAGAGAGCCCCGCGGAGGTGCTGATGGGGCTGCTGTCCGCGCTCCTGGCCGGCCTCCCCCCCAGCCTCGGGGATGTGGTGCTGCTGAGGACGGTGCTGCGACGGCGGCAGGACGTCTACAGGCCGCTCAACTTGGGCGGCAGAATCCGGGATGCAAATCTGGATGTAAGTAATTGTACGACAGTAGTGCGTGTTTGACCTTGTGGTTGATCCGGGGTGGGATTGGGGTGGATTGGGGGCGGATTGGGAAACACGTGGGCGGTCTGGGATGATGTGCACATGGGGAAGATGTGCCGGGACGCATTACCTGGGCGTGAAGTGGAGGATGTAGGAATAGCGGAATGGTGGCCGAGGAGGGGAGAGGACTATGCCATACAGATTTTACCATGAACTTGGATAAACGATGACTTGCTTTGTGTGTGGGCCTGTATGTGTGTATGTGTGAGAGAGAGATCATGAGGAATTGCTGTTGCACCGCGACTCACCGTTCACTCCGCTGCCGCCTGCCGCCTGCTTAGCCCTCCCTCTTTGACCCCAGCTGGTCGCTCGAGGGCCTCATGCGCTCCGGAACCCGCTCAGAGCCCCCCCTCCCCTCCCCTCCCCTCTCCTCTTTCCCCCTCTCCTCCCCTCTCCCGTGCAGACCGATGTGGCCAGTGCCCTTATGAGGCAGCTGGGGTCATCTCCGGCAGAAGACCGCCTCAGCAGCTGCAGCACCAACAGCAGCGGGGGCGACAGCATCACGGGAGCAGTGGGCGACTTTGCCAGTGGAGGCGGCGGTCGAGGGCATCGGCGAGTGCAGGGCGCAGGCAGGACTGCGGCAGCTCTCCATCTGGCCCCCACATCGGCCTCCCGGCAGCGGCAACAGCCGCAGCAGCTTATGGCAACGGCGGGGGACTACTCTTGTCACACCCTCAACAGTGCTCTGGCATACATTCTGTCGACTGGTGCGGATGGAGAGGATCCTTTAGTGGAGGTGGACCTGGGGCAGCTGGAGTTGCCGGGGGCTGCCTCCAACTGTCCTTGCCCGTCTGCATCCCCACAGCAGCCACCACCACCACCGCCGCCTCTGGATATGGAGCTTTTCAGCAGGAGCGACAGCCTGCACTTACAGGATGATAGCGCGGCCGGTGCCAGGCGCAAGTCGAGCTTGTTGTTCTTCTTTAAGACCAACCGTACGTCGGCGGAAGTGGTGGACGCATCGGGGATGGGGAGTCACCATCGTCGCCGCCGCTCCCACCGCCGCTTTAACTTTTGGGGGGATGAGGGGGGCCTATCGGCGGCTGCGAAAGCTGCTGCTGCTGCTGCTGCTACTGCCGCCGCAGCCGTCGCCTCTACGAATAGCCACCGCACAAAACGAGATAGCGACAGCGCCCACACGGCGCTCGGTGACAGTGATGCTGCGCCGTCTCCCTTCACAGCACCCCTCGCTGGGGTGGCCGCGAGTGTCATGTCCCGGCCCTCCCTGGACGACAGCCGACTGCAATACTCGGCCTCTGAGGACATCTTCCGGCAGCAACAGCAACAGCAGCAACAGCTTCGATTGCAGCAGCCGGTTCCACAAGAGACGAGTTTGGGGAAACAGGAGCAACCCTTTGAGCTGGATCAGGAACTTGCATTGTTGCAGCAGCAGCAGCAGCAGCAGCAACAGCAACAGCAGCAGCAACAGCAACAGCAGCAACGCAGCGAACTTCCAGCCCCCTCAGTCCCCCCTTCGTCAAACCCCCGGGCCCCTTCCGGACCCAGTTGGGTCACCGCACGGGATGGACGGAGGCAGCAGAGCTTTGCCGCCTCACTGCTGCGGACGGCTTCCGCGACACTGCGGGTCCGAATGGGGAGCAGTGGGGGACCGGAGGGCTCCACGGGTTTATCCACCTGTTTCCATGAAGAGGGCCTCGAGGGCCTGGCTTGCACTTCTGCTGCTGATAATAAGACCGACACCACCAACAACAGGGGGCTGAGGGTCACGAGTGGCGGGGCGATGAAGGTGGTGCAGGTGGCACAGCAGGCAGCAGCGCGCTCTGGAGGAGGGGGAGGCAGCGGCGTGAACCGACGCCGCAGCGGCACCGGGGATGAATCCGTCGGAGGTGCCGGTACGATGGGTTCCCTTACCGCAACTGCGGTGCAGTTGCTGCCGCCGCTGACGCTGCTGCCCCCGCGACCGTTGCTAGAGGCGGTTGAGCGTCTTTTGTGCCGTTGTGACAGTTGGCAGTTTGACACGTTGGGCCTTCAAGAGATCAGCGGGGGCCATGCGCTGTCGGCTCTGGGGTTCTTTCTGATGCAGCGCGAGGGGCTGGTGGAGAGATTTCGCATGGAGCCGCTCCGGCTGGCCCGACTGCTGCGGACTTTGGAGAGTGGCTACCCAGCCAGCAACCCCTACCACAACTCGGCTCATGCCGCGGATGTGCTGCACACTCTGCATGTGCTGCTGCACGGGGCTCAGCTCACAGAGCATTACCTGGACAAGCTGGGCCTGATGGCGGCGTACTTTGCAGCGGTGAGGGACGACGGGGAGGGGGTGTTTGGAATGTGATGAGGGACGACTGGTGGGGTAAAGACGAACCACGAACGAGTGAAGCTGCTGCCAAGTGAAGCTGCTGCCAAGAGAAGCAGAACTGACCAGTAGGCGGTTTTGAAGGAACCGACCTCGGGATGATGACGACCGCGTAAACCTAACTACCTAGCCGCCAAAACTAAAATAAGAGCGGAAGAAAAAAGCAGTAGAGCAAAGCCATAAAGAAGTAAAGGTAGGTGTAGAGACGGCGAAAAAGAACTGATGACGTGGGCTGAAATAAAGTTTGCCGCCGGCCTGGCGGCGGCATTGACGAGGTTGGACCAAGGCTGATGAACTGGTAATAAAAAGCTGATGACATGCAAGTGCTCCTCCCAACCCCCCAAACACGCGCCCGACCCGACCGACCCAACCACCGTAGCCCGTATAGCCCCCGTATATCCGGCACCGACGCAACGCGATTCACCGACAAAGCTGGAACCTCCTCGGACTCACCTGGCCAGGCAGCAGAAGCAGCGGGCAAAGGCACATGGGAGGCAGAGAGGTGGAAAGGTTGTGAGCAGCGGACGATAAAGACAAGAAGGCATGTGAATGCCGCTGAAATGGAGTATTGAGCTGGCAGACTGGGGAAGCTGGGAATAAGAAGCCCTAAAGAACCTATGTGAAAGAGGAAGAAAACGCAGGGACTAAGAAGGAAACAAAATGCAAAGGCGGCGCAGGACGACACAGAAGGTGTCGTACGCGATGACGGAATTGACAACGGGATGACGCATTGGACAACGTGTACGCCGGCAGGAACGCAAGGAAGGTAGAAATAAGGAACGCAAGATAAAGGCCAAAGGAAGGAAGGCAGCTGGTAGGAAGAGAAGCGCATATGTGACTTGTGGGGGTTTGGGATGCGGTGAGGAAGGCAGGGTTTGGCGGATCTGGATGTAACGGCCAGCAGTTAGGTATAGCACTGATGAAGTGAAATCATCACCCACACATTCGCAAGAAGCCGTTTTTACTGCTTCCTTGAGCTCATAGTCGTTGCCACTTCCCGTCCTCCCCTCCCACGCTGATTTTTGTTTCTGGTGGATGCATCAGATCGTTCACGACTACGGCCACCCGGGCCTCACCAACGACTTCCTGGTGGCAACCTCTCACCCCCTGGCGCTGAGGTACAACGACCGGTCCCCCCTGGAGAGCCACCACGCGGCCGCGGCCTTCACCCTGCTGGCCGACAGACCCGACCTCGACGTCACTACGGGTCTTAGCGCCGCGGAGAGGGCTGCATTCCGGAAGCAGGCGAGGGGGGGGGCAGGGGGCCCTGTTGCTTGGGGCCTTGCGTGTGTGGTGGTTATGTCCCGAGCTGCTACGGGTGGTGTACCTGTCTGGCTACCTGCCTGGCTAGCTCGCGGTGAACTAGCGTGACAGTGCGCTTATGCTGATGCGAGGCACCGTGTCCCCTCCCGTCCCCGCTTCTCCACATGGCTTGCGCCTTTTCCTCCTGCGCACAATGTCGCCTGCGCCCCCCTATTTTGTCCGTCCCCTGCCTCCTCCTGCGTCTCCTGCTGCTTCGGTTGCCTCAGGTCGTTGAGCTCGTCCTGGCCACCGACATGAAGCAGCACTTTGCCATCCTCAACCAGTTCAACACGGTGCACAGACTGGCTGGCAAGATGACCAGCGGCTCTGGCGGAAATAACGCAGTGTCCAATGGCAGCCCAGACGCCCAGCACCAACACCAACACCACCAACAGCAGCAGCAGCAGGGGGCCGATGTGGAGTGGGGGTCCCCTGTGACTGCGGAGGGTCCCTCGGGGGGCATGGTGGAGGTTGTGGCCCCGGTGCCGCTGAACGAGGGGGAGAGGCTCCTCACATTGCAGGTGTGAGGGTTGGGACGTTGGGACAGGCAGGACGAGCGAGAAAACGACTGACACGATGGTGTGGTGTCGTACAAGGCATCATATGGAAGAGCGCCATCTCGTACCATGCATGGGCCGTCACTCGAAAAATATATCCACACTCACGAATTGCGTTTCTTTGCCGTACTTTTGCCGTACACGCCGTACACAGGTGATGCTCAAGGCTTCCGACATTGGCCACCTGGGGGCGAGTTTGGACCGCCACAAGCGGTGGCTTACCGGTCTTGAGGAGGAGTTCTTCCGCCAGGGCGACCAGGAGCGCCAGAGGGGCCTCCCAGTCAGTCCGCTGTTTGACCGGGCCAAGCAGGGAGTCAGCAAGAGCCAGGTGGGGCCGGAGGAGGGGGAAGGGGCGCGCGGGACCTAGGTCTCGGGGGAAAGCGCCGGGCGGGGAAGGGCGGGGAAGGGGCCGCCCCGTAGTGGGTCAACGTGGGTGGGTGGATGTGGTGCGAAGTTTGTTCGGGGGACATCACCTGACTGGAAGAGCGAGTCGTTGGTGTTGCCGTGTTCCACCCTTCGAGCCTCGCACATACCTACATACTTGCGTACATACCTGCTGCATCCCTCCCTCCCTCTCAAAGGTGGGGTTCTACGACTTCGTGGCGCTGCCGCTGGTGCGAGCCGTGGCGGAGGCCTTCCCTGGCGCCCTGCCCCTGCTGCGCTGCTTCTCTGAGAATTACGAGTATTGGAAGAAGGCGGAGGCGGCAGCAGCAGCGGGGGTGGTGGCAGGAGCGGCAGCGGGGCCCGCCGCCGCCAGCACGGCCGACACCGCCGCCACGGACACCCCGCCACTACCGTAGCAGTAGCAGTAGCAGTAGCAGTAGCCAGAGTCTACGTGGGGGTCATTCATGTAAAACAGCACCGCCAACGCCGCTCCGCTCCCAGCATGCAGCGATGGCACCGCCGAGGTCCCTCCAGCCGCTAGCGGGGGGGCCTCGTGGAGCGGTCCTTGCCTCCTGTCGTACCCTGCAGCCTCTCCCATCTCCCTCATCCCCTCTCCCATACTCCGCCGTGGCCGTTTGCTGCCACCCTGCCACCCTTGTGCTCTACTCCTTGTACCTCTTGGGTCGTTCAGGGAGGGGTAAACATTGGATCGATACGATGGATGACCGACGGATCTGCAGTAATTTCTTGTTTGGTTGGACGAGCGTTGTTTGACAGGCGGATGCGCGACACAGGTAATATCACACAATCGTGTAAAACTTGTTTTTAGCCTTCCGCTCCTTCCTCATGGTGGGGCCAGAGTGAATGCAGTTTTGAGCCTGAGTATTGTTTATGCCTACGTGCATGTGCACTTGTATATATGTTAATTATTAATCAACATAAAATTAAAAAAATAATAGTATATATGTGCATGTGCTCGCTCGACAGCATGTGCGGTGGCGCTTTTGTAACTGCACACGATAGACATGATTGGCAGGATGGTGTTGGGACTGTTACTGTTACCCGCTTGCGCCATGCAGCAATTGCAATGTGACGAGCACGTAGCGCACTTCGATGGCATTGGATGGGCAGCTAGTGCTTTGTTTGGATTTTATGGTTCGGTAAGCATGGCGGTTTCTGTTTTTACGACTCCATAAACGTTTAGTATCAGCAGGCGAGCTATGGCTACGAGCCCGTTTTATTTGAAACTATTTGAAGACGTTGAAAAGCGATGTTGATTGGGCAGGAAGTTGTCGCTCGGATGGGATTGATGGTTTCCTACAGCGTACATAATAGTACGGCATGCATGTTAACGTTTGTTGTCAATAATGCATGCTGTTAACGACGCTTCCCCGTCTCCAGAGAGCCAATAGGTGGTTACTGCTACATGAATGTTTCTGAGTGATTGCTTCCAAAAAATGCCGCAACGTGATTGTTTTATGGTTGGGTCGTCGCTCGTGCCATCCACCGCCGAATGACAACGGAAAGCGGCTTCAGTGCACGTTGCTCAACTTTGTACGGCTTCACCTACTGTCGTATACATACTGTCGTATCTGGGTACTTGCTTGCTGCCGCCGCAAGGTGAGACCTTTGTTTTGCAAAATTGCCAGGATAGGTTTGTGGCATTTATTTACGGGGGAGGGGGGGGGCGGGCGTGTGGGCGCGGGGGCGGTCCTGCATGTCAACCGGGGATGCACTAATGGTTCTTTTGTCATAGTCTAAAGCTTACTGGCTTGTAAATAGACCATGTCTATAGAGCAGTTGGTCTATAGATTGGCACTATACTTGAAGCATCTATGGCCCATTTACTTGTCACGTCGTTTGTTTTGATATGAAATGTTTATGTGGATGAGGCGACGAATGGGCGCTCTGGTTAATTTTTCGCATAGTTTTTTCGAGAACGTGCCGCGCGGCTGATGTACGTGCTGTACATGGGGAGATTGGATTAAGAGCAGCAACAAAACTTACACGGCTTTGCATCAATCTTTGCTACATGGATTTAAGCGGATTTCGCAACTGCCCGTTTTTTTCGGGTGATGCGCTCGATAGTAGTGGGTAATGAAGTAATATATTTAAGAAAAGGACATACAGTTCCTGATGAAAATGGAGATGCACTCGGTGAAGGGCACGTCCGTCGCAATATTCCGCATCCTACCCCGCCCTGCACGTCCGCGACAATCCCGCAGCGGGGCGCGCGGCGAAAGAGGTGTGCTTCCGTCACAGCAGGTGTGCGCCAGGTGGCTGCCTGTATGTATATAATATATGTTTATTTTTGTCTCGAACGGCCCGTGCGTGGGGAGGTCGTTATCATGCGCGCGCTGACTGCAGCTCGGCTGGCACCGTGGCCAATAGAACGTATGGCTTGGGTGCGGGAGCTGTAGTAGTTGAATCTCGTTTGAAGCTAATTGTGAAGCTGGTTGATGGCTCTTAGAAGCGAATTGGTGGTTTGTGAGCTGGCTTGGTGGGCCATTTCCTTGATGAGTTGATTTGGTCGGCTAGATGCTGGTGGTGGTGAGGGCGTGAAATTCCTCGTTGATCGGCGATGACACGGAGGTGTAGAAAGCCATATCCTCCATGCCGCAACATTGAGCCGTACATGCGTTCTGGGACCTTTCCATAGCATGATGTACATGTAAGGCATGAAATGGAATGAGCAGCGACACCCTTGCTTGGACGATGTATAAGCGTCCGCCGGTAATCTGCCGATGAGTTTTAAACCAATTATTATTTGTCTGTGTTACTTATTGTATCAGGACATAAGCATTTACGCGGCGGTTGCCATTTTTGCCTCCACCGTTTGCTTTTGCAGGTAAACATGTTGTACAGCAGCGGCGGGAAGATATAATATATAATTTATCTTTATATATACACTGCGCCCATACATATATATGCACCCCTAATTTGCACCCCTAATATATCTGTATATATATATACACATTAGGGGTGCATATATAATGTGTGCGAGGCGAGCGTTTGATGTAAACATCGGGTGGGGTGGCAGACCGGTAGCCTGAAGGTCCCGGTCGGGGCCGAAGTAGGGGCCGGAAGCTTCCCGGTACTTCGGTCCCGACCGGGAATACAGCTGCTAGCAAGTAGAAACAGAACTAGCCGCTGCTCCTCTCGTTTCCATGGTGGCTTCAGTTTGCATGGGGCGGGTGGCAACCGGTAGCTAATCCGGCACCTGCTGATCGTTTAAGTATGGCTTCCTCTGCCTAACACCCGCGCGTGGATGGGTTCGCAGCTGTCGAGAGTCAAAGCTGTAGGGGATTCAAAGGTATAGAGAGTCAAAGCTGCAGGATTCAAAGCTGTAGGGGAAGTGGATCCATTATTGGCTGCTGCCCCCGCGAGCTGCACACCCATATATTCGCTGCCAGCCTTCGTATACTAATTCCCTAATAATAAAAACCCAGAAAAACAGCATGACGACGCATGACAGCGCTTACACATAAAAGTAAAAATTCGCAGTTTCAATTGCGGTCCTGTTTTTCCTTCCCAACCTGCAGCTCCCTCCTCGTCTCCATTCTCACCGTGCACTTGTTTCCAGGCCATTCCCCCCTGCATCTCTACAAACGTCCCCTGCCGCGTCATCTTTATACATGCCCGTCTGAAACCCACGTGTCCCTTTGACGGCTCCCCTTCCCTTCCCCCCTTCCCCAGGTGCTTTACTTGCGGTACAATCCTTGCACCTCTCCCCCCCCCCGTTCATCAGGTCGGACAATCCGAAACACCCAATCTCCAATACCCAACATCCAACTTAGGGCGCCTCTTCCCGCCTCGCCCAAAGTTTTGAGCGAGGTGTGACACCACCACCACCACCACCACCACCACAACTAACAACAACAACAACAACACCGCGCTATCCGACGCCCTCTCACCAAATGCTCTTTCGGCTCACGGAAACCCGCAGGGGAAGGAACACCGCGGTGAACAAGCCTGTGAGCACAAAACACAAAACATCGCCGACAATCGCTGAGTGATGACATCTGATGACATCTGAGCTGGGATCTCCTCCTCCGCCTCGTCGTCCTCTTCCCTTTCCCCTGCCCAATCTAACCCTGACCTACTGCTCCATCCCCCCTCGCTCCAACTCCTGGGATATACCCGCTGCGCGACATTGTTACTTTCATTCCTTTCGAAAAGAGCGTACTTCGATTGCGCATTTTTCAACTTCACATCGGGCCCCGGCGGCCATCAGTGTGTTGTGGCCCCAGGCTCAGTTGTTGCCTCCCAAAACCCATTTCCGTGGGATAAGCAAAGACGACCCGCTGCAAACCTTCCCGTAGGGGCTTCTGCAAATCAACCATGCCATGGCCCCGAGGCACATAACCCAGTGTTGGTGCTGCAGTTGCTAATGTGCCGTACGAATTGACGTACTGTTTGCTGCTGCTACTGCGGCGGCGAAGCCTGCATTCAAATTTTCTGCTTCCGTTCCGGGTGCTGCGTCCGTCGTTGTTGTTGTTGTTGTTGTTGTTGTTGTTGTTGATGCTGTTGTTGTTGTTGCTGTCGCTGCTTCTTCTGCAGCATTTCCAATTGCGCTCTTAGCTGTTGCTCGTCCAAATGCTCGTACTCCGTTGCGTGTTCACGCTCGATACGCTCCTGCTGTCGCTGCTGCTGCTGCTGCTGCTGAATGAGCACGTGGCGTGCGGAACGGCCGGCCTGCAAGCGGGGCGGTGGATGTGGTGATTGTGATTATGGGGGCCGCCCGCGGGTATTACACACTCTCTCACACACACACACACACACACACGACGTGAACTGAGACCTCGCCACGGTTCCGACCCTTCCATGTACTTCACACCCTCGCACTATTCTGCGCCACCTTCACCGTTTTGGCGTGGGATGTGATACCTTGGATACTCAACCCTGCCCGCTTCCCCGCAACGGAGAATCGGGTGATAAACCGGGTGAGATTTATATTAGAGCCTCGTGCAGCAGTAGGGAGGGGTAGGGCGGGTACAGGGCAGGGTTCGACACCCCGTACGGGGCCCGTAAGTTTTTGGCCTTTTTTCGGTATCCCCGTCAGGGCCCGTAGGACTTTTCGGTGGCTCCCGTAAGGATTTTGGGGCGCGAAGGGCCCCGTACGGGGCCGCCCCCGGACCGGCCGAAGGCCGGTTACGGTGGCTCCCGTAAGGAATTTAAGGATTTATAAGAGGCCGTACGGGGCCCTGTAGGGGAGAGGACGGACCATATAAAGGATAAGGCCACACACTTGGCAGACATAATTCATATTGCAATATTTAACTACACTTTTCATAATACTTTTATAGCTTCTGGTCTGTAACATCCAGCGATGGCAGACAATGAGTCGTCAGGAGGTGACCAAGGACCTCCTAATCCACTGCCCTCCAAGAAGCGCAAGAAATAACGAAAATAACGATTTACAGGGCAAAAAAATGCAAAGCGTCACTTTCCACAGCGTTTCAGCCAAGGACAGTGCCCCCGTAAAGGTTTTGCGGGGGTTACGGGGGCCCCCGTAAGGTTTTCGGCCGGTACAGGAGCCTGGTACGGGGCCCCCTCCGTAAGGAAAATTTGGGAGGTACGGGGGAGCCCGCAAGTTTCAGGAAGGTCAGTGTCGAACCCTGGTACAGGGTTTCCGGGTTTCCTGTGTCCTAGAAGTTAGAAACCCTTTTCACCCCAAGAGCCGGATCAGGCCGGGGAGGGAGAGGGGAGTCGTGTGGCGTGTTTCAAGCTCAGTACGCAAACTCGCGTGATGGAGCCTTGACGTGTGAGACGTGCGCGCGTGCGACGGCCCCCAGGGGGGAAGGAGAGCGGGAGCTAGCAGACCTGCGGCTCTCTCGGCTATGCTTAGGGCCCGGTCAGATAATTGCAGCCTTCACACACATGCATACACACACCAAATGGAAGTTGGAAAAATTCGCAAGGAAAAGTTGGCGCTATTGGCACCGGTGTGAGTGCATGCGTTGGTAGACCGCGCAGCTGTGGAGCATGCGCTTTCGGTGGAAGGGAGGTTGCTTGGCATCTGAGCTGGTGTGTATGTAGCTGGCCAGAGGATTCGAACAGGTGACGACACCTTGCGTTGATTGATAAGGGAGAACGGTTAGGACTCTGACCGATATAGCGCCCCTCCAATGATGGAGAGTGCTTCGGCGGTCCGCCCGCCCACACGCCCACACGCACGCATGCACACACACAAACACACAAGGTGCGCGCGCGTGTTCCCCCTACACACTGCATACATTGTCATGTACACAATGTGCTCCAGGGCATCTGATGCCCTCCCTAGCTTTCCTTCCCTCCCTAGCTTTCCTTCCCTCCCTAGCTTTCCTTCCCTCCCTAGCTTTCCTTCCCTCCCTAACTTTCCTTCCCTCCCTAGCTTTCCTTCCCTCCCTAGCTTTCCTTCCCTCCCTAACTTTCCTTCCCTCCCTAACTTTCCTTCCCTCCCTAGCTTTCCTTCCCTCCCTAACTTTCCTTCCCTCCCTAACTTTCCTTCCCTCCCTAGCTTTCCTTCCCTCCCTAGCTTTCCTTCCCTCCCTAGCTTTCCTTCCCTCCCTAACTTTCCTTCCCTCCCTGCTTTCCTTCCCTCCCTAACTTTCCTTCCCTCCCTAACTTTCCTTCCCTCCCTAGCTTTCCTTCCCTCCCTAGCTTTCCTTCCCTCCCTAACTTTCCTTCCCTCCCTGACTTTCCTTCCCTCCCTAACTTTCCTTCCCTCCCTGCTTTCCTTCCCTCCCTAACTTTCCTTCCCTCCCTAGCTTTCCTTCCCTCCCTAACTTTCCTTCCCTCCCTAGCTTTCCTTCCCTCCCTGACTTTCCTTCCCTCCCTAGCTTTCCTTCCCTCCCTAGCTTTCCTTCCCTCCCTAACTTTCCTTCCCTCCCTGACTTTCCTTCCCTCCCTAACTTTCCTTCCCTCCCTGAACTTCCTTACCTCCCTAACTTTCCTTCCCTCCCTAACTTTCCTCGCTCCATCCCCTTAAACTCTAAACGGCCGTAGCAGGCGGTGCCGCTGCGCGCGTCGTCGTCACAGGTCGACCTATATCTGCATCATGTCATCTCCCCATATCTCAGGGCAATCCACGAGTTCCTGCTCCTTTCTCTTCCGCTTCCTTTGAATACTCTGATAAACCCCAACTATGTCACTTCCCCCCTTCTCCACGGAGATCTGCGCTCTTCCCTCACTGCAAAGAGTTCCATTGTCCTCTGGTTTTCGGGTAGGATAAAACGGTACGACAATTAAACCGCAGAGTTTTGGAGGGCAGGCGGAGCAGGGCAGGATCACGAGCACACTCAGCCATGATGCCCGTAGGGCTGGGTTAGGTGTGTGTGTGTGTGTGTGGTGGAGTGGGGTGTGGGGTGGATGGCCCCACCTCCTCCTACATACAGGGCTTGATGCCATCTCGCCCCGAGGAGCATTAAGGCATTCACCCGTCACCGTAAAGAGCTGCGGCGCTGAGGCGCTGAAGAGCTGGAACGCTGACGAGCCAAAGCGCTGACGAACTGAAGCGCTGCTGCTTCTCCACACGTCGTGTACCGTATGGTGCGAAAAAGTCGAAAAAAGCCAATCGAGAAGAGTAGGGAACACATTGAACACCACGCCCCCTCCCATCCCGGCCCGTCACCTTCCCTCCCACGTCCCGATCCCTCCATCAGCTCGTAACCTTTACCTGTACGGCAACACCCGCCAGCCGCACAATCCCCAAACCCCCACGCAACCGTCGAGCAGCCGCCGCGGCGGAGGCGGCAGCCTGAACCACCAACGGTCGAGTGTACGACAGCTTAGCGGTTGCGGTAAGGTGCTCCTCCACCGCCCCTGCAGAGGGGAAGGGAGGGAGGGAATGGGGCGATGGTTGCGGCAATGTGTTTGTTTCGTGTTGTGGTTGCCCCGTGCGTGTGTGTGAGAGCACGACCATGATCATGACCATGTCCCTGGCCCCCTGGGTTGAGTGATGTGGTGGCCGAAACGTGGCCTAAACTGGCAACGTCAGGCAACGCTGGACAGAGGGGGGAGGAAAGGCTCTCCCCCGGGAGGGGGCCGGGGGGTTTGCCGGGGTGCGGAGGGGGGTTTGACGAGAGGGGGGCTACGAGACGCGGCAAAAGAGAGAAACCGGTCAACAGAGAGCAGGATCTCGCCGCAACCGAACCGCCAAGGCCCCAGCTTAATGAGTGGCATCACGGCGTGGGTATGCGTGGGTCTCGCTGTGGACCTGGGGCTTTTAGGGTCCTAGAGTTTCTGGGGGTTAGGGTTGTGTTAGGGTTGTGTTAGGGTTGTGTTAGGGTTGTGTTAGGGTTGTGTTAGGGTTGTGTTAGGGTTGTGTTAGGGTTGTGTTAGGGTTGTGTTAGGGTTGTGTTAGGGTTGTGTTAGGGTTGTGTTAGGGTTGTGTTAGGGTTGTGTTAGGGTTGTGTTAGGGTTGTGTTAGGGTGGGGGTGAAAACAGGTGGTGGTGGTGATATGGGAAACCAAATGGGATGACTTCTATCTGGGAGGGGGCCTCTGGAACATGCGTTTTGGGAATCAGCTGGCGACGTCCAAACCATGGCTGATGGGCTGAGGGACAGCCCAACACGTCGAATGATGATGATGATGATGATGATGATGATGATGATGATGATGATGATGATGATGATGATGATGATGATGATGATGATGATGATGATGATGATATGATGATGATATGATGATGATGATGATGACGAAGTGGGGCCAGTGGCGCGAGGAACAAGAACAGGAAAAAAAACAGTACAGCAGCAACAGCATCAACGAAAAACGTTTACGAATGACTCTTTCAACAATGTGAAGGGTCACAACATCTCCCAAAAGACAACACAGACACAGAGACACACGCGTGTGTGAGTGTGTATCCGTGCCTGTGCTTAGGACAAGGACCGATACGCGCCACAGCAGCACTCGACGATCCTGAACACACAGGTGCGGGAAAGTGACCCAACCCCACAGCCGCCACGGCACGGCACGCCACGGCACGGCACGGCACGCCACGGCACGGCACGCCACACGACGCCAAAAGGAACGAAAAGGAAAATGTCCCCGCTGGCTCCGAGGGGGGTTGTCTTCACCACGATTAAAGAAAAAAATCGATTCTTCATTCCCCCTACCTCCCTCCGCACACAATACACGTAAAAAGGAAAACCCCCTAAGGGGGGGAGAGGGGGAGAGGTGTGGCGCCACAGCGCCGAGAAACGACAGCACGTCAGTTATCCAGCCCATCCTTGTCCATATGGGGTTCGAGGCCCATCCTAAACAGGCCATGGCCTGAACAGGCTCCATGCCTCTTGTGGCGATATTTCACCCATCCAACCGAGCCCGGAAATGTACCCTACAACCCAACCCGATGCCCAACACCCCCGGCCAGAAACCCTTCGGTCGCAAAGCTTTGCGTGCGGCGGCACTTCTACCCGTCTACCTAATCACCCAGGCCGTCTCCTAGGCCACCTTAACTCCTCTTCCCCCCCCCCGGGGCCTCCTAGACCGCCAAGCAATGACCGAAAACGAGGGCGCATCGCGGGGTCCCCCTAGCTACACCCCCATAGCTCCTCACACGACCTTACACACAGCCCTACAAAACCCTCCGCTGCCGCTGACCTCGTGTGTCGCGTTCCGCCTTTGCCAGCGCCGGTACGACATGGTTTCGGAGCGCCGAGTCGGCTGCTGCGACGCTGCCACGCACGCCCGCTTCCGCAGCTGTGGCCAACGCCGCCGTGGACCTGACTCCGCGCGTCAGCTCCCCCCCTAGCGCACCTAGCTCCTGCACGCAGTCCGTGAGCTCCAGTCCGGCAAGTCGCATGGAGGCGGTCGTGTCCGGGATCTCTGCCTCGACCGCGGCCATGAGTCGCTCAGCGCGGTGCGCCGCACGAGTCAGCGCCCACACTGCAGGCACGGAAACCAGGAGGAGTGCTGCGGCGGCCACGCAAAGCAGGAAGGTTCCGATGCTGGGGAGCATGGTAATGAAAGCTGTGAGAGAGGGCGGCAGGCCGGCTGCTGCTGCGGCTGCAGCTGCGGCTGCGGCCGCGGTGGGTGCGGCGGTGGTGGTCGCGGCTAGGATGGTGGCGGTCGCGGCATGATAGGGTGTAGCCGCGGGTAGAAGCGCCGAGGCAAGAGGATGCTGTCGGTTGCGGAAGCGCGCGGCAGTAGCGGCACGGCTGTGGGAGCCCGGCGGGAGGTTCGCCAGGCGGAGGAGGAGTTGTTGGCGATGGAGCGGGCAGAGGAAGTGGGTCGCCTGGCTGAGGGCATGCCACCTACAAGATGGGGGTGGGGAACGGGCACGTGCAAGATTTGGTGGGTGGGTCGAGGACCAGGCGAGCGACGAACACGCTGCCAGTATACACACACACACATTTATATACACACACCGCCCGGTCGACGTAACGCTCACGCTTGCATTTGGCTCTCGCGAATTGCGAGCACTGAAATGATGAAAGCTCTGCGTCAGGTGTTTATTGACTTCATGCATTCGCAAACCAGCACAGCGAGCTTGCCTGCGCGTTCCGGAGCCGAGAGCACAGACGGCCATTTCTACTGACGGCCCACGATGTGTACAAACTGACAGGCTATGTGATGTAGATTGGTACATTCACGCTCTAGGTTTTCATATCATGGCCATGGCTATGCGCAAGCCGCATAGCCAATCCGGTCGGTGATACCTAAGTATTTCGGAGACTGAATTGTAACAGCAAAGTTACGTATTTTTAATAACCGTGTTCGCCACCTGAATATCCACGCAGTGAGCTTTTGCCTTTTGGCGATGAAGTGTCGTACGCCCGCTGGATCCGGCAAATGGAAAAACTTCCACGACCAAGGAAAGAAACCCCAAAACGTGTGACTACGTCCCAACGTGTGTACTTTCTCTTAGCACAAATAGATGCTAAATTGCTTCTAGCGGGTCTGAGCTGTCACGCTCAGTTTAAGCGACAGCCCGTTTGTTGCCGGGGCACAGTATCCATGGTGAACACAGCAAAAAGAAGCAGGCGAAGCAGCACTACTGCTGTTCCAGCAACGCCAGCTTCTGCAGCTGCTGGCAGGAGTCATACAGCAATAGGAATCGATGAGGACTCAGTAACCGCGGGCGGCGTTGTGGTGCAGGTGTGCACATGTAAACAAGCGCTTTGCCTGCTTTTATACTAGAGGATGCATTTTCTCGTTTCGCCTGGGCACAGAAGCACCATCTGGACAACTATTGCAGGTCCTTGCTCAGCATTTGGGACGCCATCTTTTGCAAAATGATTTGCTGGCGTGTAGGCTTGTATGCAAGGATTGGTGCAAAACGCTATCCGCAGGTGAGGTTTCGCTGCAATTCGCGCATTGTAGGAATTGCACTTCCCTGTTATCAGTTTTATGCGCCCGCTTTTCCTGGCTGCAGAACGAAAGACTGTTGATATTCTGCAGCTCCGACTGGACGCGGCAGGGAACCTGCCGGCGTTCTTGAGCATTCCACGCATTTTCCCGAACGCAAATTCCTTGTCTTTTCACGTTAGTGAGCGCATTTCTCCAGTAGCTCTCCTGGCAGCGACCGCAGTGCTGGGCAACAATGCTTTCTATAGACGCTTAAAGCATCTCCTGCTCGCCAGCACTGGACCGCTGGGCAGCAGGTCGAGCACATGGCCGTTCGGGATGCCTTATTGGCCTATTCAGCTGGAGGGAATGCAGGTAGGTGTTGCGCGCCGGCGGCGAAGAGAACCTACAGGGCATTTAAGGCCCTGACCGGAGTTGGACCCAACCGCGAGACGAGGTCCACCGTCGCTCCGGTAGCATCACCCCCCTCATTTACACATGGCCCCCTCCCAACACACACACAACACCGACAGGGACTCAAGTCGCTCACGTTCATCGGCCGCGCAGCGAACACCGAACTGCTGCAGACAGTTGCGGAAACGTGCACCCGCCTCACTTCACTAGTTATGGGGTTAAATCCAGAAGTAAGTGCGCATGGTAGTGGCATGCTTGTGCACGGCAGCTTGCTGCACGCGACAAATCATGCGGGGCATGTGGGTCGAGCCTTTCCTGGGCCGTAGAACTTGCACTCTACTTTCCAGATGAAAGTAACCGACCGGAGCGGCTTCCGGGGTCATGCTCTGGCCCACAACATTGCAGCGCGCGACGGTGAACCCCCGAAGCCTTTCCTGCCAAATGCATCGTTCCCAAACCCTTATAGTTAACTTCGCCGAAACGGCAATCACTCGATTACACAATACGCCGAACTCAGCCACGGCCTATCCCGTGCTCGTCCCCTCCAGGACCCCTTGGCTCTTCCCTCGCCGGAATCCTGCGCCCGCCTTGCTACACGACCCATGGGTGTCCAAGCCATTGCAAAGCTTACGTCGCTCCGCAGGCTGGCGCTGGTGCTCGAGGAGAGCCCCTGGGACTGGGACGAGGACGAGCGGGGAGGGGGTGCGCAACTGACGACGCTGACTGCATTGACAGGACTCACTGAGCTGCGGTTGGGGGGCGCACCGGTGAGTGCGAGTGTACACGTGCGCTAGGGAGCCGTTGCGTCACAGCCTCAGTAAGCAAAGCGGCTCGCGAGGTGCACCCTAACTAGGAAAGGGATAGCTTCTGAGGCATTGGGGTAGTAGGCAGTAATAGAGAGCGTGAGACCACAGCGAACAGAATGCGCCGTGGCGACAGGACGATTTGTGAGTTTGCGACTGGTATAGAAGTTATAGAAGTTACGCCACGACGGTGGCGGCACTGAAAGGCTGTTTGCTCGCGTGCGTGTCGTGCCCACGTGGATCCCCTGGATTTCGGCGCGGCGCGTTGCATAGACGTGGTATAGACTAGGATGGCATCGACTGCCCAACCTGTATGGTAGACATGTAGTAGGGATAGGGATCCTGCGCTCGAACTCAGCTGCTGCGGCAGACTCCCAAAACCTAGACAGGAGCGGCCCGTTGGGTTGCAGAATTGTTGCGGCGGGATGAGAGCGACACGACTTCCTCGCAAATATCGGAGGTACTGAGGAGGAGCCATGATGGTCGGATTCCGCGTTGATGCGTTACACATGAAGCATATTCAATGGTCTTGTGCCTCGGTTGGCGCTTGACTCCTCCCCTTAAAACCCATAAACCCCAATCATGACTGCATGCTGAATGCCACGTGCAGGTGAGCGGCGAATCAGCCCGCACGTTCCTGCGAGCCGCCCAGCAGTTACGACGTCTGGCGCTGATGTTCGACCCTTTTTCCGGAAGGCTACACGAGCGTCGGGTATGTGCTGTCTGTCGCACTGTCTTTGACTTTAACCACAGTGATAAGCACGACGATGGGGCCATGCGTGCTCAGCCTACAGTCTACAATTACTGACCTCCGTATGAGGAAGAGTCATACTTCCATACCTTGCCGGCAACCCAGCATCTCCTTCGGTGCATGATACATGTTATGCATGATACATTTAAAAAACTCTTGCGTGCCTTGCTTGTTCTATGTATCTGATATTATATGAATATGCACCAAGTTGTACGGCGAATCGGTGTTACGTACGGAAACGCATATACTTTACAGCTTCTGACGGATCTGGTGGTTTAGTGGCAGGTGTGCTTGGCGCACAGTAGGCACATGCAATTATGCATGCTGTTGTGCACGTGTGTGGTTTTGCTTTTGTGCATGGAGACAAGCTGGATTGCGCGCGCGTGTGTATGTGTGTGTGTGCGTTTTACCGCATTGTGTCGGGTTTGGGTACATCACACGCTGTGTTTGGGCGAGAGTGCGTGGACGGTCGACAAAGATTACAACGTCTGCAGTGCTGCACGGATGCCTTGGCCGGGCGTCGTTTGCAAAAGAATGTACGCCATGCATCCAAAGTTATGATATTGTGGGCCATCCACAGGAGCTTGCCCTTTGGAAGATGCTGCATCACGTGGAACTGCAGCTGCAGCGCCGGCTTCTGGAGAGCGATATCCCCCTGCTGACGCTGGGCCTGAAGAACAACCTCAGATCGCTACATCTCAGGTGGGACATCCGCGCGACGCAGCAAGGACCGGCAGGTGCATACAAACCGGATGTTTTCCCCGTTGCGCTTCTTGGATGCGACAGGGGCAGCCTCGCGTGCGTGTGTGCGTGTGTCTGTGTATTCCCCCTTCTATCTGCAACCCCCCTTTAATGCATTGCCTGCTCTCTTTTCACTTCCCATGCGAACCGCAGTTTACGGTTTAAACTCTCCAGGTATCGGATCCATCGGGTCCATAGTTCCACGCAAATTGTTTGCGCAAGAAAACGACATTTCGTCCCCGCATTACTCGTTCGCAGGTCCTGCACGGTCAGCTCCTATTCCGTGACCGCTCTATCCAACCTGACGGCGCTGACCGAGTTGTCTTTCGACGCATGGCAGCCAATAGGACTAACCGTGGGGGCTCAGGAGGATGATAGCTCTGCAGCAGCGGCTGTCCGGACTGCTCTGGTGGAGCTGCTCGCAGGGCCACTAGGCATGCAGCTTGAGGTGCTGCGGATGGACCTGTCCGACCCGAGCAAGGACATTTATGGTGACATGGCCCGGTAAGGCAACCCTGCGGCGCTTCTACGTTGGGCAGCGGCTTGTGATTGCGGCGGCTGATTTGGTTATGGCTCGCGTTGCCGCGATGAGGGTTGATCCGTTAGGTGCTCGTCAGACCGCAAATATCCGTAAATTGAACTGTCACCTCACCACGGCACGCTATGGCCGAGAAAAGTTGGGGCCGCTGACTGTCAACCATGCAAAGTACGTGGCGGCCAGGGTTACATCCAGCTTGGCGTTGTCGCCGGTATTGCGTACTGTGGTGTTTCGCACGTGTAGGTTGGCCGAGACCTGGGCGCAGGGATCGCTTCGTGTGCTGCACCTGGTCAACACTGACGGATACTCTCTGTCCTTCACGGGCGCGCTGGCGAGTCTGGCAGGCCTGACCCGCCTTCGGGACCTGAGGGTTTCTGTGCAGGTGCGTCAGGTGCCCCACCCCCCACCCCCCGCCTTGAACAACATGGAGGGTTTGGGGTTCGTGTCGCATTGTCGGGCCTCGTACCCGCATGTCCAATTAGGCTGCTTCTGCATGTGAAATTTTCCGGCAGGTTGATTCGGATGCATTAATACAAGACGTGAAAATCATAATAACGTCGTATCCATCCTTGCAAGTGCTTGTTATTATTCTTAACCCCTGAAACCCCGCACATGCAGGGCCAGGCCTGTCGCGATTATTCCGCGCTCAAGGTCGCGTGGCTTCCCCCTAACCTTACGTGCCTGGAGCTTGTCGGTATACACTTACCATGCGGGGAGGAGGAGCTCTTACATGCCGAGCAGCAGTCGGAGCAGCAGCAAGCGGCCGCGGAAGGGCACGGGGGAACTTGGGAGGAGGGGCAGTCCTGCGGGTCTTTGCAGCCCGAGCGGGCGAGCGAGCCTGCAGCGGCGGCAGGCGCAGGCCTGGACTGCAGAAGCTTAATAAGCGGCAGAGTCGTGAATTGTGGCCACGCGCGGCTCCGGCACCTGCAGCGACTGAGTCTCCATTCATGCCGGTACAAATGCTGCAGCCATTTGAAGGTGCGGCGGGCAGGCAAAGCAAACGGCGAATGGCTCTTTCGAGAAGCCAATCGAGTTGAAATTGAAGGCAGAGTTGAAAGTCTTTCTTGGATTTTGTTCACACCTGATAGGGCACGGATGTAAAGCCCCGCATTGCGGAACATGATCATTAGGCTCACAAGTTCTTTTTGCGGCAAGCTTCAATCCTTTGGCCGCCTGTTGCTTCCGTATATGCGACAGCATTTCTCGCCATTTGATTTGGTCATTGCCTTACGTGCCATGTCATGTCATGGCTGCAGGAAGCTCTGGGTCCTGCACTGCTACCCGGTCTGGTGTCCTTAGAGCTGAACGACGTGAGCGGCCTGTTAGAGGAGCACCTGACAGGGCTTGGGACTCTCACCGGCTTGACGAATCTGTCCGTGTGTGCACTGGTGAGGTCGGGGATTGGGATAGTGCGGTCAGGAAGGCAAACCGGTTTCCAACAAGTCCTGGGCACACCTTCGTATGATGTCATATGTTAAGAAACAAAGGCAAGGATGGGGGGGGGCGCTATGGGGCTTCGCATCCTCAATTTGCCATCCTCACATTCACCCTTAGCCAGGGTGTACCGGGTGAGAAGGGCTTGATGCAACTCCGCCCCTTGCTGTGCAACACGGGCCCTGATGAATGGGTGGTCACTATAGCCTTGGCGCCATCGTCTGTCCTCCTGCTTACCGGACCGCCTTTTCAACCGTCTACGTTTCATGTCGTATGTTAAGCTGAAAGCGATTAGTCCAAAAGCTTTTTATCCAGGGGACGGGTTAATCCCGCACCTATTTCCCTCTGACCCGTGTGTTGGCCCATACCCCCTCTTCCTCCCACACGACCGACGCTCCAGAGCCATCCCAGTATTAGCAGCTCAAGCATGTTGCATGTGAGCGGATTGGTGGGCCTGCGGAAGCTGCGTTGGCACGCGGGAGACTCCTTGGAAGCGCCGCCCCACCCGGCAATGCTTCAGGCAAGTGATGGGTGTGAACATGGCTGTGCAAGTGATAGGAGGGAACACGATTTGGTATTGCGCGAGTTGCTTGGATAGCTTGCGCTGGAGGACACTTTCCTCGCCTCTTCGGGCTAATTTGATGGTTTGAAAAGCAGGGACGTGCGCCTAGCAGGTGCACCTAAGAACATGCTTTCCGTATCTCTAGGTCCTACAAGGGCCTTGTGTATCTGACAGATGTTTCTAGACTAGCTAGCTTCAGGATTCAGATGCCAACTCGGGTCTTGACCATCACACACCTTCTGTTCATTCCCAAGGATGCTTAAGATGTTTACCTCATGTTTTGATGCCCCACGGCACTTCCCGAATGCCCCTGCCCTTGGAATGCTAATAACAACTCATGTTCCTGTCTCTGGTTCTTGGTTTGCTCCTCATTTTGCTCCATTTGGACAGCCCCTCCGGCATCTGGCTGCGCTGGACATTTCCAGCGGCCAATGGTGGCGCATGAGCCGATGGCACATTGCCTCCGGTCTGGGCGAGGTTCTCCCCTTGTGCGAGCTAACCGTCAGTTAACCATCAGCTAACCGTCAGCTAATGGTGTGCGGGTTACTCGTGCTCAAGGCGAGCTTGCTCGGCCTTGACCCAGCAACTTATCGTTTGTCGGAATCCTATTAACTCAACTAATACCTAGATGAGCACGTGTCGTCGCCGCCTTCGTTTGGGCCAAGGGACATAACAGCAAATTTTGCTTTACGACAATGACGTCACTCTGTGCCCTTATCCGGTAAGACATGCGCAGTTTTGCGTCTCGTCCAGGGAGGCTGCATAAGCACAGGATGAAGAGGAAGCCCTTTGACGCATGCTCGTGCAATTTAGTCACGCGGGATGGGCATTTCCTACCTTACCTTCGGAACCGATCCTGATTTACTGCGAACGTAATATGGGCGACATTTCGTAGTTGTGTGTGCAGGATGCAGTCTTGTCTAATGTGCCGGGAGCACATTCCCAAACACCAATACGCCCTTGGTAAAGCGGCATGGACAAAGGGAGGAAATGCTGGCTTGTGTGTGGTGGCGTTTCGTTGATTTCCCAATGTACGTGAATATTTCTTTCAGAGCTTGCTGACGTATGGGCACATCATAGGTTGGGACCCCACATTGAATGCATCCCCGGCAGAAGCAGCTGCCCACGTTCTTGCTGCCAAGCACTTTACACGGGTTTCATGGCATGTACACCATGGCCTCTTCCAAGTCCAAGCCCTGTCCTGGCGTTGTGGGCAAGCGGAGCAGCAAGCAGGCCATTTCCTATGGTAGTTCACATTGCGGACGCTTGTTTACTAGCTGGCACTTATAAGGCTTCGCTGGCGACCTAGAGCTCTGCCAAAGCGATGCGGTGTCCTTTGGGCCCGGTGCGAGAGAGTTGCAGGCGTCAGTGTGCATGGTCTTCTTGGTGCGAGAGTACAAATGCAATGTTGCACGCTTCTTGGCAGGCGGATTCATGGGTATGGAGGCCTTTTTCCACCGGGGGCTATCATTGAAAGCATGGTATTGACTATTCACCAATTTCGGACTGTTTACAGTACTATGAATGAATGACGTGGTGGTGTAGTTTATCGGATGCCAATGGTCACATTCCCACGGTTACTGTGAAACCGGTATGGATCGTGCAATACATGGGGGCTTGTGTAACGCTCCGGTCGCAGGATTAGGCTTCCTGCGTAGGTACATGCGTAGCCGTAAATGCGTAGGCTTGATTAAGCACTCCGGTGTTCCAGGCGTTCCCAAATTCCTGGAGGCAGATGGTAATACATACGCTAGGCTGTCTGACCGGATTTCAGTGTTTGGTGCAACTTCAGCAAGTACCCAGCCGGCCCGAGCACGCGGCGCCGACAACGTGGATCCAAGGGAGCACCCAGCGGCACGTCTTCCTGCGAACAGACTCTGCTTATGGAAGCAATCGAAGCAGGTGAAGAGGATAACGATGGGTCCTAGTGCAAAGACCTGGGAAGGCAGCAGACTCGAAATGGCAGCAAGCGAGGATGGAGTGGCCAAATTACAGGAAGGGACATGCACAGAATGGGGTTGGCACGCAAAAACGCAAAGAGACACCCGATGGATGAATGGCCTTAGGGGAAACGGGCGTTGGCTGTTTAGGCAAGGTGACCGTTTGCAGTCGGTTGCCTACACATGCGCTCGACAAGTCCGTGCGTTCGCATAATCTAGGCGCAATGCGCTAAAGCATAGTAGACGGTTGGATGAGAGATAAAACTTGTGGGTTTCTGACGAAAGAAAGCATAGGGCCAACAAGTCATGCCTCCGTCAACAAGTCAAATTTGATAGCTTTACAAAATAATGACCACAAAGCATCGAGCTTCCTCGTTAGCGAGGATACGTAGACACAATACGGGCAGAGCGGCAATCGTACAGAGTTCTTCAAAGCTCGTCATGGCCATAAGACGATTTTCAGCTGTGTACTTGCAGAGTTGCTTACAAGTTTGTAGCTTTACGGGTGTATGGTATAATAAGCCTCGAGACCTTACGAGATACCAATACCAATCCAGGCAACTGTTCTTTGCCTTTTAACTGCGAAGTCAAAATAAGAGGTTCACAAGGACCTATAGAGTCCGAGCTGGTTATAATGTTTGGGGGCAAGTACTACTCTTTGCATTGCTCGCAAACTATCCACATAATGGCGAGGTTTTAAACTACTTCATTTATCCTGCTTTGAGCAGGATATCCCAGCTCGTTGCGGTACCATCTCGCGGGTTGTTAATCGTCGAGGTTCCCCGTTGCGGCTTTGCACTTCGCAAAACTGAGCAGGCTTGCTTGCCTAGTATGTCCGGCATAGACGGAGGCTTCAATGGTTCACCAACGCCGCTGATGATGGTTGTGGGGCCATTGGTCAGTTTGATATGCCTTTGCACCGTTGCAGCCATTTGCTTGGCCATCGCGCATTACAAAGAAAAACTGGCTGCCAAAGCAAAGATGGCGATGGTTTCGATGGAGCGAATGAAGAGCGACTCCTCGCACGTGGTGAGCGGCGCAAGGCTTGAGAAAATGAGAGCCCGACGCGGTTGCACCCAGGGTTTTGCCCAAGGACTGCACTCATGGCATAAAGGGCACGCTATCCTGATCCATGCGCCAACGGCTTCTGTACCATGATTCCTTCTGCTGCCCCTGCTTCCTGGGCTATGCGGCCTCTTCACACGGCAGGCTGCGCATGGTTTGTGCCGGTTTCCCCCCCCTCCCCAACTACGCCATCCAGCTCCCGTGCCACAGCGGAAACCTAGGGGGAGTGTGGCACCCGCAGCCCGCCGTCTGACCTCTCATTTGCGATCTTGCTGATCCCCAACTAACCCTCTCCCGGCCTTGCTACCCACTAAGCCGCCCGGTGTTGACCAACACCAACACCAGCACCAGCACCCGGCAGTGCACAGCCAATAGCATAACGCGATGGACCCAACACGCACGCTGCTAAGCTCCTCTTTCTGCTCGTTTGCAACAAGACTTCTGGCACAATTCTCCTGCGTCTGCAGATTGCCGTCTCATCAGCCGTCTCATTCATCATTGCGTCTGTTCTTAAAATTGCTTAATTGTTCCAGATCCAGATCAACCGGGGTGGGGACTGGTTCGCGACGCACGTTGGCAGAGGGGCCTCTTGGTGGCTTCTTTGGTCTCGTCGACATGACCATGACTTCCCCACCTCATGCTGTGCCGTACTGTGCCGTACTGTGCCGTGCGGGGCTGCCATGATACCTGGGCGGGTCGTCCCACACGTGGTTTGGGATCACCACCCGTCTCTGATGACCCCCGCGGCGGCCCCCCCGCGCCGCTTCACAGGACTTTCCCACGCACCCCACCCATCCGCACGGCCGCGTCGTGTGTGTATAGCCTTGCAGGTAGCACCCGCACACTCTCGCCTTGTCCCCCACGGACCTTCCCTCCCTGTTCCCCCTAAAATTGGATGGTTCACGCCACGTCATTGGTTCCGTACACACCGACCCGCCAATGGCGGACCACGTATGCCGGCAGGTATCCCCCCTCCCGGCCGTGGCGTACGTCACCTCGGCAGCAAGCCTGGCGGGCCGGCGTAAATGCATCACGTCATCGGCTGCCGCCGCCGCCGTGGAGAGCAGTGTGCGCGCCGGCGGCCGTGGCAGCGGCAGCTTCTGTGTCGGCGCAGGCGGCGGCGCCGGTCAGCTGCATCACAGGGCCAACAATGGCGGCGGCGGCGGCGGCGGCGGCAGTCCGCTGACTACGAATCCTGACCAGTTCGAATTTAGCAGCAGCATGTTCGACACCCAGGTGATTGCGGAGACGAATTATTTGGGGGTATCAAGATTTTTATTTTTTGAGGAAAGAATTTGTCAAATAATAAACGTGCACTAATGCAACTTATAATTAAGCATTGGAAACCTGCAAAAATAGTAATTTTATTCTTAGCAGGAGGAGTATGTTGAGGGGCTCGGGAATCATGTGATGCAGGGGAACCAGAAATGACCTGCCAGAAGGCGTCCAAAGTTCGAAACTGCTGAAATGTGTGTCTGTCTGTCTGTCTGTCTGTCCCTGATTGGGGAAAAGTAACCCCATGGTTGGGTTTGCGGTCCTCGGGGATCGACGTGGTGGCAGTTAGTTAGGTGGTTCGGTTGGTTCAACGGTTTGGGAGCGGTGTCCGTGTCGCTAGCGTCCGAAGGTGTATGGGTGTGTGTGAGAATGGGAGGAGACAACCCCCCTTACTGGAAAAACTCTTCGCCACAAAGATATTGATAATATGTCTGGATTGACCAAATCTATGAAAAACGATGTGAGGAGGAGAATTGAGGGGTATCATAAATCTGTAAAAGAAAATGCAAGCTTGGTTTGGGTTTGGATTGGAGTCGAGTACGGGGGGTGGTGTATAGCTGCGCAACGTTATATGTGAAGCAACAGCCTGCTGCGTTCAGCTTTTAGTCAGTCACAAAAAGGGGGGAGGGGAGGCACCGCCTGCGTGCAAATGCACAACCTTTGAAACAAGCTGTAGCGGTAGTAGCTGTTGTCGGACAATACGGCATAGAACAAAAAACAAAGAACAAAAAACAAAGAACAAAAAACAAAGGACAAAAAAACAAAGAACAAAAAACAATAGAAATATTATAGCCCCAGAAATCACAATCAGCATGTCGAGAAGCCCTTTGATTGGGGCCACCCAACAGTTAACCCCCCGAGCAGGGCCCCGCCCGTGCTTACATTGCCTGAAGCTCGACACGTTAAGTTCCCAGCGCGCATATGTAAGAGTATTTCTATTCCTAGCTAATAACTCCACCACCACCGCCACCGATAGTCGATGGACAAAAAGAAAGATTATCTTGCGGAATCCCTGAGTACGACCTTTCGTAACGTTATTAGGGGTGAGGGCGTGAACTAATCCCCAGTGTCGTTGCAATAAACATTTGCGTATTTTTATAATATATATTATAATATATATATGTCTGTATAACTTTGTCTGTTTGTTATGTATTTGTGTTGCTGTGCGTGCGCAGGATACGATGGACTCGGCCATGGTCCAGGATATTCTGGGCAGTGTGGATGCCAAGTGAGTGACGTGTGTGTGTGTTTTGGGGTTGTTGGGGGGTTGTTGGGGGCGGGGGGGGAAAGAAGAAACACGAGAGGGGAATCGCACGGGTATGTGTCTCGTGCGCCTGTGTATATTGTGCTGCTGCTGCTGAGGTACGCTTTGTCGTGCTAACCGAAAACCGCCTCCAACTCCACACACCGCATACAACAGCCGGGCGATGTGCGCACCTGTTCAGATGCTGACTGGCACATTTTAGCTGTGGTATGTACACTGCTCGTCATCCCCCATCATCAACGCTTCTCCTGCAAAAAATCCAACTATTCCCAATCCAACTATTCCCAATCCAACTAAGCAACAGATGATGACCTCTCAGATTCTTCTTAGATGTGTTTTCCCCGTTACCTCGTTCCCCCTTCCTACCCTCCCCTCCCCCCGGCCAACCCCACCCCGCCGCAATTCCCCCTCATTCCGGCCCCGGCCCCGGCCCTGCTTACATACCTACCTACATACCTACATACCTACATACCTACACGGCGGACACGAATCTCCGAAACACGCAAACACACAGCCATGTCCGGGAGACACAGTTACTGTTGCACTCTTTTAATTGGGACATGGACGAACTGCTGCAATCCGAGGTCAATCAGTCAGGAAGGTGGGTATAGGGCGTGGGTTAGGCGCCGCACATCTGTCTGTCTGTGTAAGTGTGTGTAGATGTGTGTGTGTGTGGGGGGGGTACGGCTCCACCACCTATCGCCAAAGACGCCACCCGGGGGTGGGAGAACGCCGCACCCGCACCCGCACCCGGGCCCCGAGGGCGCTTTTTATCGGCTTTAATCGGCCTCGTCGGGTTAATCGGTCGATGTGGACCGCGCTGAAGATGATCTCCCTCTCTCCCTCTCCCCCTCTGGTGTACGTATGTATGTATGTACGTATGTATGTACGTACATATGTATGTATGTTGTCATTTCCGTGTGTTGTCATTGCGGTCCTTGCAGTTTCATACCGTGATGATATTTATTGCCGGTGGTGGTGCTGATTGCATTATATTCTTGCTTGTGCTGTGTTGGCTAGCAATATAATATTGTAGTTGGTGGTGGCGGCGGTTTGCCGGTTGTTTGGTGGCCGTTACTGCAACTGCTGCTGTAGTAGTTGATAAATGTGGCTCCTGCTGCTGCTACTACTGCTGCCACTACTGCTGCCACTACTGCTGCTGCTGCTACTACTACTGCCTCCACTACTGCCTCCACTGCCGTACGAGAGAGTATACGGGTTTAAGTTGTGGCGTGGAAAGGAATCAGGAGAAAGGGAGAGAGAGGTGGTTATGAGAGGGGTTGGAATCCAAATGCGCGCGAAGTACGTGTGGTGGTAGGGGCAGTGCGGAAATGCATCAATGATAAAGTGGCGCGTGGTGAAGCTCCAGCAGCAGCAGCTGCAGCAGCAGCTGCAGCAGCAGCTGCAGCAGCAGCCAATACAGGACCGGAGCGGGCCGGGCAGCGGCGTCTGGTCCGCTGTTGCAGCAGCACAAGGAGGCTGTGTTAACAAGTAATGAAGTCAGCGGGGGTTGGATCGGAGAGGGAGAGGGCGGTGGAGAGGGAGGAGGCGGCGGAGCGGGAGAGGGCGGCGGAGAGGGACTGACCCGTACCTCCCAGCCGCTAGTGATCAGCATGACTATGATGCGATGGCTGGGGTGGGGTGGAGGGGCGCGAATCCTTGCACTTGGTATGGGCGCTTCCTGTGTCATCATATCTCATCATATCACAAGCGGACTGGAGAGATTCAGGTGCAGTCGTCGGGTACTAGAGTATATGAGTGGCTTCCTTTTGAGTGGAGCTGGAGGCTTTGTTTGTTTGAATTGTGTGACATGCTTTTTGGAGACGTGCTTATCCCTGGTCGTGTGAATGGCTCAGGGGTGCGTGTTCATGTGTGCGTGCTTGTGTGTGTGTGTGTGTGTGTGTGTGTCTCTCTGTCTCTGTGTGGCTTACTAACCTAAAGCACAGTGGCCGCATCCTCCATGCTAATTTGTGCCTTGAGAACTTGAAGTTGGAAGTTTGGAGCTTGAAGTTGAAAATTGCCGCAACCAACAAATCAACGAAGCATTGGAGGACGAAATAAAGAGCAGCTCAAGCACGTTGATTGTGTATGTATGTATGTATGTATGTATGTATGTATGTATGCACACTACCTGCGTTAGGTTCGAAGATCAGTTGTCCTGCTTCTGTCACCCTACAGCGCACTGCATATATGTATGTATGTATGTATGTATGTATGTATGTATGCGTGTGTTGCAGAATACTGATAGCCTACCCCTGGCCCCCCAATAACGGAAAGACACTGCACTGCTAAAAGAAGCTCTCTCCAAACCTGGGAGCTGGTCTACATCTCTATACTGCGTCATCAGAATAGGCCCCGATGGGGCTGTTCGCTCGTACTTCATTTGCATGTACCTCTGCATGAGCGTGTGTGTGCGTATGTATGTATGTACGTATGTTGCATGCTGTGCGTGGCAATGGTAGCTGAGTGACGAACAGGTGCAGATCAGCGGCAGTCGGCCTTGTTTGCCTACCTCCTACAAGGGTGAGAGATTCCCCAAATAGTAGTTGTAGCAGCAGCGGTAGAAGTCGCCAAAAGGAGACAACAATCTGACGGTAGCTTTTGGAATTTGTGCACTCAAAACATGTGGAGGAACATTCGGATGAAGTCGCCTGGCGTGCGTGTGTGTGTGTGTGTGTGTGAAATATAAGAATATTAATATTTCTGTTGTCGGAGGAAACTGTGGGAGTGTGAGTTAGTGCATTAAGGGTGCATTTCGGGTAAGGAATGCGCAATGGCGCCGTCGGGCGGGTGATCGATGATGGTGGGTTCAAGCACAAGCTCAAGCTCAAGCATGCGGTTTATGTTGGGGTGGCTCGACCCCCATCTTCCTGTGTAGTGTTCATCGCGTGTATTATGCTCATCGCTGTCGTATTGCATTTGCTGAGGGCATGTGCAGGTATGTATGCATGTATGTATGTATGTATGACAAGCGCTGTGTCGTGCACACTCTACAGCGGTGCGACGTCCGGTGGACCGCGAGCGCTGTCAGATATCATTACTACTGCTACTACTACTACTACTACTATTACTACTGTGTCGCATGAAGGTCGCGTGGCTGCGGGAGCAATGCGGGGCGAACGGCGGCGTCCTCCTTTCCACTTTTCCTCCTCCTGCTGTGCGGTGGCGGTGGTGGTGTGACGATCTTGCACAATAATGTTTAACTTTGTTCTGGTGCTGCTGCTGCTGCTGCTGCTGCTGCTGCTGACCAATCCTCCCTATCCAACATGGCCGAGATACGCACACACATACACATAAAAGCACACATATAGAGACGTCCACATGCACGAGCCGACATGCATGCGAGCTACAACGGACACCTGCACCTGCAGGAAAGTGGATGAAGTGTAAATAAATAATGCTATACTGTGTACTGTACTACTGCTGTATGACCAACTGATGCATATGCGTATATGTTTGCATGGGGGTGCATGCGGGCTTCATTTTAGGGTGCGGCCCCCTTTGCAGCTATATATCTTATGTTTGTCGCTGCTGCTGCTGCTGCTGCTGCTATAAATGCTACTGCTGCTGCTGTTGCTATATATGCTGTTGCTGCTGCATTAAATGCTACTGTGGCTGGATTAAATGCTATCGCTACTGCTGCTGAAAGTGGGCAGAGGATGAGGGAGAGTTTCGGAGTTAAGGTGCGAAGTAACGATGAGGGAGAGGGATTGCCAGAGGACATCTGTCTGCTGGAGTCGTGATGTGTGGGAGTCGACTGGGCACTGTGCGGGGTTGCGCGCTGCTGCGTCCGCAGCCACGGGGTAAGAGGGCGGCGGCTGGGTGGCTCTAGCTAAGGAGGGAGCCCCCGTATGTATGTATGTATGTATGTATGTATGTATGTATGTATGTATGTATGTATGCCCTCATTCGGCGCCAAAACGCTTAGCATGTTAGCTATTTATGTATGTATGTATGTTGTTACAGGGTGGTTAACTTCGCCAGCGGCCCCCTTTCCCGGGGCAGTCCCTGCTCTCCCCTGCTAGAGGGGCACCCTAATCCGTCACCCCATCCGACTTCAGAATGTATTCGTTGGGTTCGGCAACTCACCACCAGCATCCAACCAAATCTAGCGGATCAACGGCGCATCAACTTAGTTCCTGGTCAGCTCGCAAGTTGATATTATCACGTCCTACACCGTCCATATGATGGGGGGCCACCTCCCATTTCATCACTCCTCAAACACCCGAGGAGCTGGCAGGCGGATTTGAACCCGGGTCGACTGGATCGACTGGGAGCAGAAGTCAGGCCTTAACTTCTGCCAGCCGCCTGCCTGTATGTATGTATGTATGTATGTATGTATGTATGTATAGTGTGTGCTAAGAAGGCCTATCGGTGAAATAAAGTGAAAGATGGCTCTAGCATTGGGATTGCATAACCTGGTTACTACATAGTACCTACACACCGGTTATCTAGCTACGAGGGCATCCAGCCCGAGGTCCCGAGGTCTGGATACGGAAGGAAAGGATGAAGGACAGCAAGTCCCCCTCTAGCTGCTGCAGCAAAGCAGCTCAAGGGGGGAGGGCATTTTGCTGTCTCGATCCGCTGTATTTGTTGTGGCTGTGGTAGGTAGGCGCTTGTTTCCCGATTAAGCACACGCTCAGTTAAGATGAGCTCACAATGTGTCTGTCTGTCTGTCTGTCTATGTGCGTGACTACATGGGGCTGCAACTGATATGTAGCACGTATGGCGGAAAGGAGGACTGGTCGATGACGGCTATGATGATGGTGGTGACGGCTATGATGATGGTGATGACGGCTATGATGATGGTGATGACGGCTATGATGATGGTGATGACGGCTATGATGATGGTGATGACGGCTATGATGATGGCGATGATATGCCACTTGTTGGCGGCGAGCGTGGTGCGTATTCCTCCTGTTCGCTGTGTGTATTACTGTTACGAAGGTGAACCAGCGGTGTAGGATTGCTCAGTAGTTAATATCACCTATTTTCTGATTTTTGGCTGATTGTTCGATCGCATGGTGATGACTGTGTGATTGTGCGCCGAAAACGCGGCGATGTTTCGGCCTTGAGAGTAACGTAATGTACGACCTGTCGGCCGTTGCTCATTAGTTATCTCATCTAGATTATTTTTTTATTCTCAGGCCGCTTTATTCGGCTTTCCTGTCCTTTGTCGTTTGGCTCCGTGGTTAGCTGTCTATAGTTATAGAGTGTGCAGCACACACACAGCTGTGTGTGCTGTCATATGTGCACGACGTATGTATGTATGTATGTATGTATGTATGCACCTTGTAATTTATGTATAGTGGTTGCATAGGCTAAGGTGATTTGATCTAAATCATCACCGTCGTACACACAACTACTTTGTTGCCTACTTTCCCCTTGTTCTTCCTGATTCAGTTGTAACTGTACGGCATTGTACTTTTTTTCCTCTCACCATAAAGAATGTTTGCGGGTGTGCAACCACGTTCACTTCTTCGTCTTCCTCCAGTACCACGTAACATGACAGCATGTGTAATAAAAACCGCATCGTCGTACGGAAGTACGAAATGGGTCGTGCCAACCAACACAGTGGCCTTAAGAGATGGACCAGCTATAGACGACCCCGGACAGAGAGAGCCCCGCTGCGGCCATACACATCCCCTTGGGCGATAAAACACGAAGAAAGTACTGTGTGCAATGGCGGCAGTTTTTGGGAGCAGCAGTAGCAGCAGCAGCATCAGACATGGCAACCAGTACACACACACACACACCCAAAAGCTCAAACTACTTCTGGCTCTCTCCTACCCCCCCCCCCCCCAATACACACACACGACCACTGATGGGCAAATAGGGGGGTCCTTGTGAAGCAGCTGCCCGCGTTTCCAAAGCACGTATGGTGTTGGATTGTAAGGTGCCCAAGTACGTTTGCGAGGAAGAGAATGTGGCCAGGCTGGAGAGGAAAGTGCAGTGGCATATTGGAATGTGAGATTAGCGTAAGCGAGTTACAGGGCGTTTTATTGCACGGGCGAATTTACGTGCAAATCTTTCACCGTAGCATCAGTCCTCAGTTCACTTCTTGGAACGAACATCAACATAGGTCCAAGCCCTCTCGCTTGGAGGGATATGCAAACAAACATCCTGATAGGGGTAAACTCGCACGCTACCGAGCATTCAACCGAGCACATGCATGCTTAGTTGAATGGTGAGATGCGACCCCCCCTTCATTTCGTGCTCGGCAAGCCTGCCACCGTGTACCGGATATGTTGGCGATGTTACAGAACGCTGCACCTTGGTTTCTGTGCGCATTGCGTACGTTGCTCGACCCCGCCGACCAAAACTACACGTGCCCAACTGAAGACATTCCCGGTGGTTGTGCAGCAGCTCTTGAGGCTGTTGCTGGCTGAAATCCATCCTGAACTGTTGCAACACGGCTAACGCGGGCACGTCCCTATTCACAGCAAATAGCTGTTCCAAGCCAACAGCGGCGTCCATGTCACCGACAAGGCTCTAAACGTCTTATCTGTTCTTATGTTTAATTAAGTTTATGTATGTTATACTTTGCGCAACTTTGTAATTTGACTTTACTCTGAACAAGGTGCTGCATACAACTGCCTCTTCGCCAGCGCTTCATCTTCCGCGGCAGTTTCACGAGCCCAGAGTTGCAAGCTACGATGTTGGCTTTCGGTGCTTTTAGTTACTGCAAAGCATCCACGCAATAGTCCAGCCTGCATGCCGCGTGCGGCTATGGCCAACATGCCCACCTGCGCAACGCGCTGGCGCACCTGGTCCTTTTCCGCCAAGAAAATTTATATATACTTGTACAGGCGCATTTTGAGAATCGCACGCGCGCATCTGCGCGGTAAAATTCGCTCCTGGCTTTTGGGGCGTGATGTACGGACCTTTTATTCGCGAAGTACGACCGGACACATTTGTGCGAGAGGCTGCTTACACATCGATTTGACACGGGATGCTTTCCTAGGTAGGTGTGGCCACCATCCACACACCGAAACCCACCACCGCCACCACCACCCTCCTCGTCAATCACAACTGCACGCCGTACCCTCCTCCGCCCGTACCACCCCCGCTCCGGAATCCGGCATCCCCGCCCCCCCCATCATCCTGGCCATCAGGCTCTCCGGAGGGCGCAGTCGGGGCGCAGGTCGTACAGTGAGGTTGACATCCCCCCAATTGCCCACACGCCGCCATTTGCTCGTCCCCCTTGCTGGAC